ATCAATTTCTGCCTTTGCTATTAAGAAAGTTGAGAATGATGGGGAATATGAACCTGATTTCTTGGGCCAAGAATCTCTGAGAATAGCGTTCCGCTGGCTACACCAACGCTTGAAAATGCTGTTCCCGTGATAATGGTTGATGCAATCACAAACACCGGTAAAGGAACTCGTGTGGTGTACTTGCACCATGTGTATTCTCTCAGACAGCCACCACCTTTGCTTGTGTCTTCGACTGTCGAATTGCCAACTGAAATTTGAAAATTTAAACAAATCAATGGAATTTTTGCATCTTCTCTCATAAGAGCTCGTGTTCTGATCAATGAATCAGTGAAATTGTGTGAGCTTCGTTCAAATAAGATGAAGAACTTCAACGAGTAAACAGTGCTCTTATCGTTGTTAAGGACCAACCAAACAGATAACATTCCCGGAACCGATAACATTCCACTGCTGAATGTCGCCTATTCACTATTCCATTACTGAAGACTACAGCTCAGATGTAAAAACAGTGACTTCGCATATTTTCAATGGAATACAAAACCAACCAATTGTTAGAGGAATGTAGTCCAATGGTCCACTGTAGAAAGGCCACGGAATCATCAGGAAATGATACAAAGCGAACATGCTCATCCCAAAAAACAACATTTTCCGTTTATCACTGCAATCACTCAGCCAGATTAGTTGCAAACATATTCAGCGCACATTATAATCAACTGATCTACGATGTATTATTATTGACCGTGCCGTGCATTTCTTGTCTATTTGACTAATCATTTCATAACTGATTACTCTCATGATTGCACACACAAAGAGTTCATTTTATTGTAGATCCTTTATTGCGGAATCTCTCTTGACACCGAGATTTTCTCTCGCAAGCAGAATTCCAATGGTATGTAAACAGTTCTTACAATTTTCCCATTCTCGTTAAGCCAAACGTCATGTATACAGTGAAACTAATCAGCGTTGAAACAAGTACAAGGATACCAACGCGGAATATTGCTGCATTATTATCCCAGTTATAAAGCGTCATTGAAAGTGGAATCATCAATCTGTAAGTTTCGTTAGAAAATGACTGCTGAAACCTGAGACACACGCAAAAACTCCACACATTATTAGTTCAATCAACCCTTATTCAAGGCGTATAGACCTGTATCGGACATTATTTGCTCAAATGCCGTCGTCTCCAACGATTTTTAGTTTTAACTGATGAAATTGAAGCAAGCTGGA